TGGTGCTGTAACACCACTTTGCACAGTGCATGCATGTTCTGCACAGGGATTGACATCAGCACTTGGCCACCTGGCTGGCACAAACCACATGATGCCTCCTGCATCCAAGGCTCAGCATTGCACCACTCCCAGCTCACTGCACTCCTCAGGGACATGGGTTCTTTGTACCTCCAGTGCCACCATGCTGAGCTCTGGCTCAGAGCAGCAGCCAGCACAGCTCTGGGAACATCCACCCAGTGCTTTACAGGGAGAAGACACCTTTCCTCTGACAACCACCAGGCCAAAAAAGGTTAGGGTAACCCACCCTCTGCACGGAGGCTTTCTCCCAGGCAGACACTTCAGCCTTCCACATGCAACCTGTATGAGCTGGGACCTGCCCCACAACAATTTTCCTGGGCTAGGCTGTTTCTGCAACCCAGAGGAAATCCAGCTGCCACTCAAAGGCATGTCTGCATCTTCCCCTGCTTCAGCTGCCTCTGCCTTCCCCCTGCACTACCACAGCAAGCAGCCAAGGAGCACAGGGAAAGGAAGCCAACCAGCTCTGCCAGGAACCATGGCAGCAGGCAGAGAAGTCACAGAGGCTGTGTCTCGTGTGGCCACCCCTCAGGAGTTACACGGGTGAACACTGGTAGATCACGGTCAGCCATGGCTCATCAAGGAGCTAAGTTTCCACTCACAGAGCCCCTGAGCTGAGCAGCAATGAAGGCCTGCTGAGGACACCTCTGAGCACGTTATAGATATTGCTTGATCTCAAAGGTGTTCTAGAAATGTTTGTAAATGAAGATCATAGAATACCAGGCTGGTTTCTGTTGGAAGGGAGCTTTAAAGTTCATCCAGCTCCAACCCCTGCCACGGGCAGGGACAACTTCCACTAGAGCAGCTTGCTCCAAGCCCCTGTGTCCAACCTGCCCTTGAACACTGCCAGGGATGGGGCAGCCACAGCTTCTCTGGGCACCCTGTGCCAATGCCTCAGCACCCTCACAGGGAAGAGCTTCTGCCTAAGAGCTCATCTCAGTCTCCCCCCTGGCAGCTTAAAGCCATTCCCCTTGGCCTGTCCCTACAGGCCCTTGTCCAAAGCCTCTCTCCAGGTTTACTGTCAGCCCCCTTTGTTGGGGGGAGGGCTAGATACATAGATCCTACTTCTTCCAAAGAGAGAAACTGAAGTTACACAATTACTATGTGCAAGGCTGTTTATAACTGACTATATGCTTAACCCTTCTTCCTATTTTCAATACATTTGGATGCCCTATTTCCATCCTGACAGCTAGGACCAAGGGACTGTTACACCAGATGTACTTTAGCTGACACAGACAACAAAACATTATCTATGGAGAGGCTGCACAGTGCCACAGGTTATTAGAGCAAGACAAGCTGCTCAGTTCAGACACGACAAGTGTTTGATCTCTCCACTTTCACAGAACAGGAACTTAGAAGCAGTTAACCTGGGTCAGACATCAGAAGGGTTTACATCATTTTAAATGAATGGACATATCACATATGCCACCATCTAGAAATACAGGACTGCATTGTTTGTGTCCAAAGGCCACTCCAAGCACCCCCTGCTCTTTTATCCCACCAAGGCCAAGGACCTTACCAAAGGAGATTGCAAGGAGCTTGTCCACCTGGAGCTGCCCACAGCTGACAGTCTTAAAGTACCACCAGAGGGGGACTTGCCTTCTCCGTTAATATCTGTGGAGGAGTTTTAGTATTATTGATGGGGAGAGACATTTCTTTCTCTTTTCAGATCTTGGAAAGCCTTTGGCTCTTTGTCCCATCCACCAGCAAGTATTTTAATTTTTGAAGATACTAAGAGCCTTTTTAAAGGCATTATATTATTAGGATTGGTTTATACAAAAGGCTTTGGTGAAGAATATTTTCCTTACCCCAGGCTGAGTATCTTGGTCCATGTCATCTCGAGGATTTCCCTAACCCCTTCATAAAGCTTGGCAACGCATACAAATCCTTCCTTCTTCCCTTAAAGCCATGGAACGCACATCTCAGAGGTGTTTCTTGTAGCCTAACTCTGCAAAGCTTTTTGGGACAGAATTTAGACAAACAGTAGTCTGAAAATAAGATCTTAATCCTGCTGCCTGTAGCACAGCCTTCACTCTGAGCCCAAGTAGGACCTGCTCCAAGGACTCCAGCCTTTCCTCTCCACTGAAAAAGCAAATACTTGCCTGCTAATGTGTTTAGTTTCTTTGTATCAGTTCTCATTTTAAACTAAAGGGGTCTGAAGACCCAGTTAAGTAGGCACTACCTCTGTACCTCCTCAGGTGGGAACCTGAGGACAAATAGCCCTAGAGAAGCCCTGGCCAGAGCTCACCCATGGCTGGAGCCTGGTGCTGTTCTTTCATCAGGCCAAGACAGGATAGATCTCACTTCCACCTGCTTTTATCTTGTGACCGCCTGAACCAGACTGATCTCCCATGCAGTCATTGCCATTGCGTGGTTGCAGATGGTAATAGTAGATGTGAAAATGCTGCTTCTGCAGCTTCCCAATCATGACATGTTTTAGATCTTCTTCCAACAACAACTCCTTTGGTCTTCAGTAAGCTAAAACCCTTCCTTCATAAAATCCTAGGACATTCACATACATCCTGTAAAGTACCTGCAACATTTTGAATAAGCTGACAATATACTGACCATTTGGGGTAAAAAGGCCTTTTTTTGCAAACTTATACAGCCTTAGCATAACAAGGTTAAGCTCGATCATAAGGAATGCTGAATTTACTTACAGCCATACCAGCAGCTCCAGCCCCACCCAGTTCATAATGCGACTTTTTCCATCGCACTTTTTCTTCAGGGCCACCTTCCCTTTTGGGGTATCTGCTGGGGCCTCCCTCTGGAAGCAAAAACCTACAGAAATTACCCATTACATGATTTCATGCTGCTCCTAACTTGCTCTCAAGAGCAGTGCAAGCTCCCTCTTTCCCTAGTACGCTCAACCACAGGGCCACTAGTGTATCAGCACCATGGGAACATGCTCTACTTTTGTCACACACTTATATCCTCCTACTAAGAGCAAGGGGCATCCTCCTCTCCTTTGTTCCTACCTTGTCGCCCACTCCTCACTGGATATGTGGACACAAACCAACAAACCTCACCATGGATCCTCACCTTGATTTCATCCTGTGCTATATTCCCACTTCCCTCATCTCCACTGGGTACTGAGCCAAGCTGCTATGGCCTCTGCGCACTGGCTGGGCTTTCACTCTTTCCAGCTCTTCCTTCCCATGCAAACACATAATGGAGGGGACCAAAGTAGCACTGATTCAACACCAGGAGGCAAATGCTGCAGACATTCAAAGAGCAGAAGCTAGCAGTGAGACCAAGGTGGAGACACCCCAGCCTCTGCCCAGCAGCTCCCCCAAGACCTGCAGGGATGGTGCAGTAGCATAGCACCAGCACTGAGCCTCGCTGGCTCCCACCCTCCTCATAGTCCCAAGAACAGGCTTCACTCCCTGGTGTGCAATGGCTGATTCACACACAGAGCCGAGGTGTTTCTTTACCCCAAGTTTGCACAAAAAAGTAGCACTAGGTGGTATCGCAGAGCTGGCACCCACACCATACAGAACTGATGTATTTATACAAGTCAGTTCAGGTTAGTCACTCCCCAAAACCTTCCCACCATTTAACAACTGGACAGTTAATTTACGTAAGATCACACTGTCACCAAAAGTCAGCAGAATAAGACTCCTTAACACAATGCAGCAAGAAGCAGGCATTATTTATTATGGCACTCAATGCATGGGGGAATTGCTCCACCAAACGTGCATGTCGGTTCTTACAGGTTTCTTGCTTATGAGAATTGATCTCATACATATACGTTATAATTCCCAGGAATCTTATACATAATTTCTTCCCAGAATTAACTGACATAGGTTACTACCTACTAGAGCATGCATGGTAACTCTCTTTGGTGGTCCTAGGGGTCGTTACTTCTCTCTTCTCTTCCTCGGGTTATTCACAGGTCACACAGAGGATGATGAAGATGTGATGCTTCATCTTTTTCTCGCTGTAGCAATCCTCCACACCACAGTGTCAGATGTCCTTCTTGATTGCCTGCAAGATCCCTGTTATCTATGAACCACATGTATTCATTGTAATGTTGCCATGGTATGAATGGGCTACTTTTAGCTGAGTTTGCAAGCCTCGAGGCACTTAAAACAATTGAGCATTGTAGGAGCATTTTTACATGTATCAACATCACTGATTCCTTACTCGCATGCTCAGTGAAGGGTCTTTTGACCTGTAGGTGTGCTATTTAGTATCTTGAGTATGGTTCATCTAAAGGACACCCTGATCATGTTGTGCTGATATGTCGAAGTCCTATCTTGATGATGCCCATGTGTTTCCAGGACGTACCAGCCTCCAAGGATTGTTTTCCCCAATTAAGACATTCATTAGCCCTGTTTCTTTATCTGGCTAGGCAAGGCCAAAAACTTCTCCAAGGCTATCAATTCTCTTAAATCAGTGTCGTTCTCAGATCAGGACCTTTCAGGTCATCAGATCAGGACGTTTCAGGAGGCCCTTGTATGCGCTACTCTGGAAAAGGAGGTTTTTCTATAGTAACATAAGTCCCAATATTTTTACTATATACCTATATAAGACCCATTTTCTAAACTATATGCTACAGCATCCTTGTCCCAGCCCTGCAAGCTGGGTTCCCGACACCGAGCCTGGAGCCACCAGGGTCAGTCAGCACAAGACACCGCTGGTGCAATAGCCGGCACACCAGGGAGCTGCGAAAACACACGGCCTGGTCCCGCAGAGGGGACACAGAGGCCCCTCCCTGTCCTGCCCTGCCTCAGCACTCTCAGGCCCCTGCCGAAGGTCCTGCTCCACCCCCTACACGCAACCCGGGGCCCAAGAGGTGTCGCCCGGCCCGAGCCCTCCAGCAGCGCCCCCGGAACCAACCGGCTCGGGCAACACAGCGCTTCCCCGTGAGGCACGGCCACGTGATGGGCCGGTGGGTCACCACGTGATGCCGAAAGCGCTGGGATCATGTGAGAGGCTGCCAGGATCGCCCCGCGGCAGAACTGTCGTCGGTGGGAGCGGTTGGTTGTCATGGAAACGCTGCTCCTGCTCCTCTTGCCGCTGGCCGCCGCCACCCATCCCGGTGGGTGACCGGGCCGAACCCCCGCCCGCCTCCCCGCGCCCCTTTTCTCCGGTCCTGCCACCGGTGGAGCCCCTCCAGCCAGTCCCCCTAGGCCCCGAGCGCGGTCTCGAGCCAGTCTCCCTGGGCGGGAGCCCCCTTGCCGGCCTGGGGAGCGCTGGAGCTGGGCCCCGGTTAGCAGGGCTGGGCTGGGCGGTACGGCCTGTACGGTACCGGGTGGTGGCGCCGGTTGCCGGTTTCTCCGGCGATGACGGTTCACCCCCTCCAGCTGCCCGGGCAGCGGGGCCCGGCCTGGAGGAGCGGCTCTTCGAGCAGGTGCGGGACCACTTCACTTTCGAGAGCTGTGGCAACGAGACCTTTCCGCAGCGGTACCTGGTCACAGGTGGGTCCCGGGGGTGTGCTGTGGCCGAGCTGCTCTCACCCCGGCATGGCCGTGCGGGGTCTTGCGATAGCTCAGGCTGAATTTCTGTCTGCTTAAGTTCTAGCCACTCGTGCCCTGAGGCAGAGAGCCCTTGCTTTCAGTGCTCACAGAGCTGTGCTGAGCAGCCAGGAGTCAGTTTGAGCCCTTCCTGAGCCACTCGTTCCTGCAACCACACCGTTATCCATAGTTTCCTCTCCTTACCTTCAATTTATTGTTACGGCCATGGGCTGTGGAGCGCAGGTTTGGGGTTGACCTCTCTGGAGCAAGAGAGACCAGAAGTAGCTTTAGGCTTGTGCCAGGGCTGGCTCTGTGCATGTAAGTCTTCAGCTGGTCACAGCATCTCTTGCAAGTGCAACTAAGTGCTCTGAATGGGGCCTGAAAGAAAGCTGGAGAGTGGCTTTGGACACCTGTAAGGACAAGACAAGGGGGAATGGCTTTAACCTGACATAGAACTAGGTGAGATTTAAGATCCCTTCTAACCCTATGAGGGTAGTGAGGTGCTGGCACAGGTTGCTTAGAGAAGCTGTGGCTGCCCCATCCCTGGCAGTGTTCAAGGCCAGGTTGGACACAGGGGCTTAGAGCAAGCTACTCTAGTGGAAGGTGCCCCTGTCGTGGCCGGGGTTAGAACTGGATGAGCTTTAAAGCTCCCTTCCAACCTAAATCAGTCTGGAATTCTGTGAATGCAGGAGGAAAATGAAATAGTGACTGAAATATTGCATTGTTCTCAAGAATTAAGATAACTCTGGGTCAGTGTTTTGCATTATTTAAAACCCTGCAACTTTATATATAGCTTAAACCATGCTGAACAGTAAGGGATTCCAGCAAGGAGCCGACAGTGTCTTCCTCTCTAGCCAAATGCTGAGTTATTTTCTCTGCCACAGGCAGTAAGAGAAAGAAGGATTTTCTAAGCAGTGTGTAACTAAGAAGGCGGCAACTCCAATAACCAGCAGCATGTGATGTTCAATCCTGCCTGCTTGGAGGAATCAAGGAGAGATTTGCAGGGAGCAAAGGTGGAGCTGTGAATAGCACCAGCCCAGAGGCCTGCCCAGCCCAGCACCTGCCTGCTGCTGCTTCACAAACTGTCCATGTCTGGGGCTTTGGATGCAGCACCTCACCTTCCTTACAGGATTTGTTACTCTGCAGCTTGTTCAGCACCTGCACCCAGTCATGTGTTTCACCAAGTGTGAATGCATGGATCAGTTCAGTCCAAATATATGGGAATTGACAGTGAATTTTGATAGTGTACCCAAATTTTACTAAGTGGCCCTTTGTGGACAGAAACTTGGGATCACCTGGTTTAAAGCATTCCTTAACCTCTAGTTCTTTTGTTTCGAAAGTGTTACATTTGATCTGTGTGTCCTGGGCATAGCTGAATAATATTTGTGAGAAACAAAATATTAACATTGTAGTTCTGCTGGTTTACAAATAGTTTTTAATGCAAAATGCCTCTGAGGAGTTTCATTCCCCTTTACTGCTGCTTCTGCAATAGAAGACTTCGCAGATTATCTGTGAGAACTTGGAGACTGGTGTTTCACAACCAGGCATCTGACACTCTTGAAGTTAGCTGGCAGATTCCCAGGATTTTAGTCTAAAACCAGATACATTTTAAGCAATCCATCTGGTTTGGTTTTGGCTCCTGTGACTGGTTGTTTACTCTAGGAGCCAGGAAGCATATCAGAAGAAAAACCACAGTAAAAATAGCACTTTGTTTTCCTACCTGATAACCCAAAGCAAATGCAACACAGAGAGACAATCATTCTCTTCATTAACAAAGAGCATCAGTTTCCCTAAAGAAAGGTTTCACACCCATTTCTAAGCCAAATCCTGCATTGGCAAGTCTGTGTTGAGAATGCCAAGAATTAAATTCAGGGCTCCTGTGATGTTCTGCAGTGGCATCTGTAGGACAACCACTGTTGGAAGATCTCTGTGATGATCACAGACTGAGAATAGTGTTGAGTAAGGTGAATTACATTTAATCTGAACAATAGGATGCCTGACTGTGCACCAGAAAATCTTCTCTGTCTCTTGGTTAGTAACCTGTTATAAAAAAATATGTTGTAATCATAGAATCATAGAATAGTTAGGGTTGGAAAGGACCTTAAGATCATCCAGTTCCAACCCCCCTGCCATGGGCAGGGACACCTCCCACTAAACCATGTCATCCAAGGCTCTGTCCAACCTGGCCTTGAACACTGCCAGGGATGGAGCATTCACAACTTCCCTGGGCAACCCATTCCAGTGCCTCACCACCCTTACAGGAAAGAACTGTTTCCTTATATCCGATCTAAACTTTCCCTGTTTAACCCATTACCCTTGTCCTATCACTACAGTCCCTAATGAAGAGTCCCTCCCCAGCATCCCTATAGGCTCCCTTCAAATACTGGAAGGCTGCTCTGACATCTCCACGCAGCCTTCTCCAGGCTGAACAGCCCCAACTTTCTCAGCCTGTCTTCATACAGGAGGTGCTCCAGTCCCCTGGTCATCCTCGTGGCCTCCTCTGGCCTTGTTCCAACAGTTCCATGTCCTTTTTATGTTGAGGACACCAGAACTGCACACAATGCTCCAGGTGAGGTCTCACGAGAGCAGAGTAGAGGGGCAGGATCACCTCCTTCGACCTGCTGGTCACGCTCCTTTTGATGCAGCCCAGGATACAGTTGCTTTCTGGGCTGTGAGCGCACACTGAAGCCAGCTCATGTTCATTTTCTCATCCACCAACACCCCCAAATCCTTCTCCGCAGGGCTGCTCTGAATCTCTTCTCTGCCCAACCTGTAGCTGGGCCTGGGATTGCTCCCACCCAGGTGTAGGACCTTGCACTTGGCATGGTTAAACCTCATGAGGTTGGCATCAGCCCACCTCACAAGTGTGTCGAGGTCCCTCTGGATGCCATTCCTTCCCTCCAGGGTATCAACCGAACCACACAGCTCGGTGTCATCAGCAAACTTGCTGAGGGCGCACTCAATCCCACTGTCCATGGCAGCGACAAAGATGTTGAACAAGACCGGTCCCAACCCCGATCCCTGAGGGACACCACTCGTTACTGGTCTCCAGGCGGACATTGAGCCATTGACCACAACTCTTTGTGTGCGGCCATCCAGCCAGTTCTTTATCCCCCGAGTGGTCCATCCATCAAATTGATGTCTCTCCAATTTAGAGACAAGGATGTCGTGTGGGATAGTGTCGAACACTTTGCACAAGTCCAGGTGTGAGGTTATGTGTCCAAATCAACACTTAATTGACAACCTGAGGTCTGTTGTTGAAGAAAGCTGTCTATTATCCCTCTTAATTCTTATGCTATTTAAGACTAAGCTAAAATAAAATGCTTTCAAGCATTAAAGCAACTGTTTGTTAGATAAGCAAGTACTGGCATCATGGATCAGCTTGTCCTCCCTGTCTCAATTTGCCTCCAGTTCTAAACAAATTGAAGGATGAAGCACATCATCTTAACATAGCATCATATATATATATCTATGTATATGATATGTCATATGATATATATATATATATCTGATACATATATGAAGACAGGCTGAGAGAATTGAGAAGAGAAGGCTCTAGGGAGACCTTACAGTAGCTTCCAGTGCCTAAAGGGGCCCACAAAAAGCCTGGAGAGGGGCTTTTGGGAAGGGCCTGTGTGGACAGGACAAGGGAGAATGGCTTTAAACTGACAGAGAAGTAGATGAGCTTTAAGGTCCCTTCCAACCCAAACCATTCTAAGTTATGTGATTTACAGCTTGGCTCTACATTATACATCACAGCAGAAAGCTTCCCTAATGTCCACTTTGTGGGAAAAGTGATCCATGCAAGTGTTTTGGGATGAGCTGGGCTGAAGAGGGTATATAGATGTGAAATAATTCTTGGGGGTATGATGAGGCAGCTGTGTCTAAAGGCCTTGCCGAACTTGAGTTTTTTAGGGATTTTCAGGGAGAATCATAAAAGTGGCAGTTCCAGCCCACATGATGTTCTCATGGAAGCTCTTACTTACCCCTGCTCAAATGAGAGATTTCTATAGCCTGGGCTGTTAAGCTCCTGACCAGACTCACCAAAAGTAGTGTCATTTCATGCTCATGATGTTTGTTTGGGTTTGTGGGTTTTTTTTCTTTAGTTCGGTTTTTGTGGGTTTTGTTTGTTTGCTTATTTGCTTCTGTCAATTTTCTCAGCAAAGTTCTGGAAGGAAGGATTTGGACCCATCTTCTTCTATACTGGCAATGAAGGTGACATCTGGACTTTTGCTCAGAACTCTGACTTCATATTTGAATTAGCAGAGGAACAGCAAGCACTTGTGATTTTTGCTGAGCATGTGAGTATTTTACTACAACAGAGTCTTGTTGTGTTCAGTATTGCCAAATTCTGTTCAGTATTACCAAATTCAGCTTTTTGCTAGTCTGGAGATAAAACCACCTCTTGCCATGAAGCTGAGGGGTACCTGCTGTAAGCTTTCTGCTTGTGGTAGCAGCTCTTCTTTACTTAACCATGGCTTCAGAATGTTTTTTACTGTGCCTACCAGCAATCCAGGATACAGAATTACTGTTTCAGTAAAGCCTATGCCACAGGGTATTTGCCTTAGATCAGTGCTTTTGTAAGTAGTTTCCATGGGTCTTGAACTCCACGCTTGTCTAGAAAGTTATTTTTGTTTGGATAATTAATCTCCACACCATTTCCAACACAGTTCTATTAAATCTACTATTCTGGAATTTATGCATGAAGACATTACACTGTTCCCTTTTCTAGCTGGGGATTTCAGGAGAGAGGCGTGCTGAGGGCCCGCTTGACACCCAGTGAAGCAGATACGTCCTGAAGGTCTCTGTTTATCAGATGTAGGAGAAAAGGCACTTCCTGAGTTACAAACAAGTTAGAGGACACCACGTGCTCTGTTATTGCTTCCTGTTTGTGCACACTTATCCCAGTTCTATAATGAGAACAGGGAAGACCTGGACCTTGACACCAGCATTCTGCAGCATATCTCTTTCCTTTCAGAGATACTATGGGAAGTCTCTCCCATTTGGACTCGAATCAACACAGCTGAAGAAGACTGGTCTGCTTACCGTGGAACAAGCCCTGGCTGACTATGCAGTGCTAATTACTGAGATTAAGCAGCAGTATGGTGCTGCAGACTGCCCTGTCATTGCTTTTGGAGGCAGGTAAAGATTGTGTCCTTCCCTTTTCAGCATCCTTTCTCAGCCACAGCTGTGCTGTTCTCGTAGATCTGTTTGGCTCTCAGGCAAATTCTAAGCGTAGAGCTTTACGCTGTCTGATATAGAGCAGTTGTGCCTGTACCTGAGCTCCAAAGATCTCATCACTAGGCCCCAGTCAATTCTTCCATCAAGAATTAGTCTCAGTTTGTGATTGCTTTGGAGAAGCACCACTGACCAGATATTTCTAGGTAGCTTCAATGTGCGAGACAGCCAGAACTGCAGAAAATGGGAAATTCGTCCTGTAGGATCAGAACATTTTATATTGGAAATACAGAAAACTAATAATTGGGAAAATATTCTTTTCAGGGGCCACCCAGCTTTTTATTAAACACAGCCTCTTTAACAACATCCAGCCATTTTCACTCTAGGCTCTTTTATAGTTGTTCTGCAATCTGCTGCTTGGTTGCTCCTTGCTTCCTAGCAGAAGTTCATTCCCAAATGAAGGCTGAGGTATGTAACGACTTTTTTTTGCCACAGTCTTCACCAGCAAGAGCTCCAGCCACTCTGCCCGAGTCACAGAAGGCTCATGGCTCATCTCCAACTCAACCATGCTATGATTCTATGAAAAATACTGAAATACGGCAGTGTTGGAGCAGCACAGCATGTGCCATGGGAGAAAATAAAATACCTCTTCTGTTGCTTGTAACTTTTCCAAACTTTAACCTGAAATTACTTGTGGCAGGTTTCAGCTATGCCTGTTCCCAAGAAATGCATATTGCTTTACATGTGGGTGATCTGCAACCACTTGAGATGGTGGGGAGGAAGACTTGAACACCTCTAAGCTTGTTTCCCCTTCCCTGTGTCTGTGCTGATCATCTATGCAGCTGTTATTTGGGGTGTCCAGAGGGAACACTCTCTACTTCCCAGCAGCAGAGAGTGCTGCTTATTCTTTAGGGTCCAGGGACACCCCTTGCTAAAAGCCTGGCTAGTCTTTATAATCCTGTATGCAGAATATGTCTCCTTCCCCCACTGAAAAAGTGACAGCTTCACTTGACCCCTACTAGTTTAGCAATGAAGCTGTCAGGGCATATGCAGTATGGTGAAGATTTCAGTATTGAGGCACGATTTATGTATGGCTGCAGAAGCACACTGGGCTGCTGCATTCCCACCAAGCTGGGGTGAGCAGCTGGGGAAAGCCCAGTAAGAACACAGTGTGTGCTGCTCATTTTAGATGAGGATGGCAACTACTAAGATAACCACAAGCTTCTTTTTGCCTTGTGTTAGGTGAGCCTGGGAATGCTGGCCTGAACTATTGAGTTACTATGTTCTTAGCTGCCTGTTAAAGGAAATCACTCTTTTGTCTCTCCTGTGGCAGCTATGGAGGAATGCTCAGCGCTTACATGAGGATGAAATACCCCAACATTGTGGCTGGAGCATTAGCTGCTAGTGCTCCTCTGCTGTCTGTGGCTGGGCTTGGAGACCCCACCCAGTTCTTCAGAGATGTAACAGCAGTAAGTAGCACCACTTTTTAGGAGCATTATTTTCTTCCTTTAAGAAGGCTGGACTTTTTTTTTCCTTTTCCATGTGTTTAAACAGACATCTGTCCTCACAGCATCAGTGCTGGGCAGGGAATGCAATTAAGTGGGAACCTGCAAGGAACAGCAGCATCTGCAGATGTGATGGCTGAGCACTGCCTTAGCTGTTGGCATCTCAGACCCCAGAACTGCTGTTCTGGGCAGCACAGTTTGGTTTCAGCACTTTTAGTACCTCTAAGGATTCACTTTCCCATTTCTAGTAACTTGACCATTTTACAGCCTGAAAGTTCTCCTTTTTGCCTGCCTTAATTCCTTTTGGATAATTTATTCTTCAGATCCTCTCCCAGAATGTTGTATTTTGCATCATTATCAATGATTCACAGCAGTTACTTAATCCGAAGATGTTTGCATTTCAGTGAAGCACTTGAAAATCTTCATTTCACTAACTAAAACTATTCAAGGTGTCCTGGGCATACTTAAAAGCAAAATTTAAATATGGCTTTCACATTTTGAGGACATAGGACCTGTAGGAGGGTGGTATTGCTTAGAACTGACTTACATTTAGTTTATAAGGAAAGACATGTACTACCTGGCAGTACTGAAGTCTTGTGATGTTGTCTGTTTTGCCTCTTTTCAACATGAATTTCTACAACTGGGTGACACATGGAGTTGCATGAACTACCTGTATGTGAAACTTGTGGTCTTTTTGCCCTTATTTACATATATGAAAACCTTATTTCAATGCAGAGACTTATAGATAGCATAGCCACTAAGTGTAAAGAAAAGACTCTAACTGTTGAAGACAATAAAAGAACACTGTCTTTAAATTATAAATTTTAAAACAAAAAATGTAATACCACTTAGTCATCTGACAGGCCCTGCAGTCGGAATTCTTCCCTGGTTGAGCTGACATGCGGATTGACTCCACAACTCATTAGAGTTGTAAAGTAGGTATGCTTTATTCAGCTGAGGCACATGGGGGTTGCTCATCCAAAAGCATGAGCACCCCCTTTGCCACTCAGTTCGTTTATATTACATATAATGATTACCTAAACATGAGATTGCTTCACGCCTAATACATATGCAAAACTTATTCCTGTCTAGTATTATAATTAGTTTTCTGGCATTTTTCCCATTGGTGCGCCTGTGCAGTGCCTCCTGGTGGTGGTCGTTAGGGGGTCGTGAGGATGAAGGCCTGTAGTTCCTCTTCATCACCGCGAGTAACCTCTTGCTTTCAGGCAGATTCAATAGGGTTTCAGCTCCTATCCAAACCTCAGGTTGGGTACAAGCTGGTTTTATGTATCTTGAAGCAGAAACTTGTCAGGTTTGCAAATTTTGTTACTCTGGCTATCTTTTGTTCCTTTTCTTTCTAAAGATACTATTTAAACAAGAATGTCTTGTTTATTAATATTAGTATTAATATTAATAATATTAATATAAAATATTAAGCTATGAATCTTATCTACTACAATTCTGCCTAGCAGCTGTAACTCCTACAATTCTGCTTCACCAGTCTAGCAACTTTGACTCATACAGTTCTACTTCACCAAGCACAGTGACTGCTTAAGCAAGCAGGCACAATGTTAACCCTTTATTTCCCGGTATCAGTGCTAATTCCTTCTCAGAAGCCCTGTTCAGCTGATATGAGTCTTTCTTCAGTTGTGAATATGTTGAGTCATTACACATCCTTGAAATGAGGGCTTTGACCTTTGCATGCCCCAAATTCTCCCATCATGTTTAAAATCTGTTCTCTCTGAAGCAATAAGCTGACCTTTGGGCTGTGATCCTAAACAAGCACATTTTGTTGCTTTCAGAGTAGTTCCTTCCATCATCAGTGTGTTTGCATAAAACCAGTTTGTGCATCTGAAATCTGAATTAAGTCGCTGCTCTTGGTGAGTGAACACCCCTGAGAGCTGTTAATAGTAATGAAGGCACAAACCTTCCATGAATCATTGCAGGAGCTCTCTCTTCCTGTGAGTCAGTCTCAAATCCAGCTTCTCTGTGACTTACTGAGCTTTCCCAGCTCACTTCATAAGCCTCTAGCTCACAGGGAAAGTGAGCAAAGGGCAGAAAGTTGATTTTGAGTAAGCATAAGTTCTATACGCCAAATGCCCTGCATACAGCCAGGCAGAACCCCCTGTGTGAATGCTACACATACAGCCATATGCATGCATGCTTCCCATAGGGATACTGCTGCAGGGGCTGTTTGGGCCATTAACTTTAATCAGTTTAGACATCTGAATTAGGTGATTCCAAAGAGTAAAGCTGGCAGCCTGGAGTGGGAAACAGCTTTCCTTGGAATGGCTGTAATGACTCCTGCCCCTGCTTCTTTGAGGTCTCAGCTGAACTGTTCCTGAGTCCTAAGGGTCTGCAGGAAAGAACTGGAATGGGTGGTAGTTTGCAGCATGCTGCTGCTCTCCAGCATGGCTAGTGGGGAGCTCAGCATCATGGCAGCCAGAGCAGACCTGCTCCTCTGTCCCATGCTGATCCATCCCCACACTCCAATTAGAGCCATTAGTAGATGAAGATCAATAAGCACAACCAGGAGAAGATTTGGAACCCCTGAAGAGTTGCCCAGGTAAACTGTGGAAAACCCCATGATGATTTATCTAGGTGTAACTATCAGACAAAGGCAGAGTTAGAAACGAAAGAAAGGTCCCAAATCTAGTTTTAGTTGAGGGTGGACTTTGTAACAAAAATACTTAGCTAGTGATTTACCGTTACTTAACCATTGCTCTAGCATGGTAAAGGATCTTAAAAAAGCCCTGATAATTCTTACTGATTGCCAGCAGATCTCAAACTGCCTTACAAGCTGACAGAAGAGAAACAGTTTGGGTTGCTAGAGCTTTCAGTAACAGAAACAACTTATTACTCCAGTGTAAGGAGCCACAGCTCACCAAACATACTTTAAAGGGCTTTTTCAGGATCCGTGATGTTTTTCCCAAGAAAAAGGACATGGTCTTCTTGGTCATCTGGCAGGTCACTGGTGGGCGTAAGAAAAAAGCAGGTATTGGTTCCCAAACTTGTGCTCTGCCCTCCATGCATAACTGCCTTCTCCATTGCTCCTTCTTACAAAGTGCAGTATTGTGTGTTTGAAAACAAAACAAGACCACAAACAAACCCCAAAAAATTTCTGTGCCTAGCAGCTTGGCATCTTCTTCCCATGTCCTGGCTAAGGTATGTGTCTCGCTGCTTCATGTCCAGTCTAATGGCTCCATTAAGTGCAAAGTGTCTGCCTAAAAGCTTACCCCAGGAAGATCTGGTGAAACAGTTGCTGCTTGGTCTGAGCTGTGCAGACTGGCAGACTGTTGGCTTCTGCTGGGAGGTGCTGATTGTCTGGAGGACAAGGCAGAAGAACTGATGTCACTACTCCTGGAGATGCAGATGAGGCTTTATGAGCACTGGGCCAGTAACCCCTGTTATCTCTTGGTACTTCTGGCAGTTCTTCCCACTGCAATGTCCAAAGTACCTCCTCTGTGCAGCCATAATTCTGTGTCTTTTCTGTCCCTTCAGGATTTTCAGAAGTCAAGTCCAGGCTGTGTCCCTGCTGTCCGCAAAGCCTTCCAGCAGCTCAAGGATCTGTTCCTGAGCGGAGGTAAGGAGATGATAACCCTGCGGATGGCTTCCGAGGGGCTGGCAGCAGACAGTTGCAGCCATGTGGAAAAGAGCTGATACAGCTTTACTTCAGCTAGGTCTTCAATTAGTTCCACTAAATCAATGCAAATGCCCACCTGGCTGCCTCTTCCTGCTTGGTTTTTGATTTAATGAACAGTTTCAGTTAGCACTGAAATTCGTAACTGACACAAAAATAAAAACATCAGTGTGGGAGCTTGCACAGTGTTAATGAAACTGTCTTTTATGCACCAAAATGCAAAAATACCTGCAGGTGCAAAACACCTGCATTTTCTGATGGTAAAGCCCCATGTTTTGTTAGATACTTGTCCTCAGCACTCACACTGTTGAGAACTGTTCAGGTGTGTGTGACAACTGCGTGGCTCAGCTACTGGACAATCTGAGAAATATTTGCAAGGCAGTCTCGGTCTTGAAGCAGCCATCATAATCTCTTTCATCTCCAGTTGGGTAGTTAGGTGAAGACAAGGACAGAGGCTGGTAAAGATCTCTGCACTCGCTCCCAGGTAGGCCAGATGAGGTGTCACGGGCCCATGCAGCATCATCTGGGGGCCCTGCGTGGTGTTGGAAGAGCTGTGGTGGGTTCTTGGCCTGTCTCAAGGCTTGGCTTGGTCTGTGGTCCTCATGTCAGGGGCTGTGCCTCACAGCAGCAGCTGGTCCTGGAATTGTTCAGAGGAGCTGGGGTCCAAAACCCCACTCAGCTTTGGGTCACAGCAGGAAAAATGTTACTGTTAAATAGCCAAGCTCTTCAAGGTCTCCTTGGGGCCATGCTTTCTGCAGCTAGGTGGATAAGGTAGTCATATTTAAGGCTTAGGCTCTCAAGTAAATGTCCAGAGACAAGTCCCAGGCTTCCGAGTAAAGACAGCCAAGCTCTGATGGGTAGCTTCTAGAGTAGGGTGGGGACTGCAGCTCAAAAACGTGGAGGATGAAGATGAAGGGAGCAGCTTTCCCCAGCAGAAATTCAAAGGTATATGAGTACATCTTGAAGGAATGTCTTCAAAGACAGATTTCCTGACTCCAGCTGACCTCTCTGCATTACACTGAAGTTTGAAGGCACATCTCAGGAATCCTTTGTGACTTTGTGGGAGTCATTCTTTCTTGGCAATTCTTACTGCAGACCTGTATGGGAGCTTGCCTGGGGACACTGCCCTGCAGGACACAGCAGACCCCAGGTAGGGAGCCAGCAGGAGCAAAGAGGAGGCAGCCGGGCAGGGCATGAGCAAGGACAGGCTTGTACTAAGATGCTATTCTCACTGTGCCAGATGGCACTGCTGCTGTCTTAGTGGGTGCTGATTCCCTGGGCTCCCCTGGAAAGCTGCACAGAAAGAATATGCCTGAACATCCACATGTTGTAACTTGAGATATAATGTGTTGTTCCCACTAGAAACCTCATCTATGTGTTACAGCATCCCCTTACTCCTGAGTGAAACAAGATGCTGAAGCCAGGTATTACTTTCCTCTGTTAAAGTTTGTGGTTTTTATTTTCCTTTCTTCTGCAGCCTATGATGAAATTAGTAGTAAAATGGCCACATGCAGTAAGATCTCTAACAAGGAGGATGTTTACCAGCTTTTTGGATTTGCTAGGAATGCCTTCACCATGATGGCCATGATGAACTACCCTTACAAAACCGATTTCATGGGTCACCTCCCTGCCAATCCGGTGAAGGTGAGTACCAGGACACAGGAGAGTGTTGGGGTTTGTGATGTGCATCTTCATGATTCGAGTGCAGGATCTGCACAGCCTGGGACAGTCAGGCACACACCTTGGTGATGGTGACAGGGGGAGGTGGTGGTGGATATTGCAGCCCTTCTACTCTAACAGTTACTGTTTATTGTTACTGTAAGTAACAGTAGCTGTTTAAACTTCTATCTGCTGGTGACTGCTGCATTTGAAATGCACTGCATAAGGCTCATCAGGGAGCATTTTCTGAAGGCACTCCTACCCTGCTCTGCCTTTATCTTAGATGCAAAGGCCTGCGCAAGCTTGTTGACTTCAGCTTTAAAACACTGAAGTTGCTTTGTTGTAGCCCACATACTCTTGTAGATGTATTTTTCTTGGTGGGTAGAGATGGAGATCTAAAAATCAGGCTCCTTTCTAAGTATTACCAGTTGCTGTTCAGTTGGTTTCATCTGGTGTGCTGTCAGCGTCATGCTGCTCTTCTTTGCTACACTCAGCACACCACACTCATGGGACTTTATTTGCCTCTGGCCTTGTGGCATTTACGGCTTGAGCCCTGCCTGGAGCAAAATACACATTGCATGAGAGGACATACAGGCTACACTGTACTGGGACTCAGGAGATGCTGTCTTTGGCTCCACTGGGCAGCCAGTACCTTTCTAGGGACTGTTTAACAATCTGTAAAATGGAAGTAATTATTCTACCTCCCCTTGAGAAGGACATTATTCTGATTGTAGGAGGTGCTGTTGCCTATCACTGTGGCCTCTGCACAGCTATTTAACTTGGTAAAGGAACTGTTTGTCCTGGCCCTGTCTCCTTGTTTCTATGTATTTTGTTGCTAGAAGGAAGGAAAAAAAATCCCAAACCAACCAACCAAAAAAAAAACCTGACCCTACCACCACCAAAACCAAAACAACCACCAAGCCCCTACCTGTTGTATTAGACCCTTGGAAATCTGCTGAACCATAAAATATGTAAGCAGTAATTTTAATGAACCTTCCAGCTTAGCTCTTGCAGAAAGCAGAGACTGTTAACTATTCTGTCTGCAATTTGCCTGTAATGTCTCATCCAGGTCAGCTGTGAACAAATCCTTGCCCACACAGACCCAGTTCAAGGCTTGGCTGCTCTCGTTGGTGAGTTAATATTATCATGGTCTTTAACACCCTGTTCTCTAGAAGCACCTTTAAGTAGAACTGTTGCATTGTTGTGCAGGATATGTATTGTGGGAGCTTGTGTGTTTCCCATCTCCCACTGGGATGTTTTGCCCCATATTGTCTATTGGGGTATCCTGTGCTGACCCATGAGTTCATCTTCTCACCTTTCCAAACTTATTCTTGTCAGGTTTTTCAGCATTGCAGCCCCTTAGCCTGTAACCATCTGTAAGATGTGGACTTCTAAGGTACTTGATTCTTTTCTAAAAGTTTAGCCATCTGCTCAGGCAGTCACAGGTTCAGTGCATGTTCACTGATGGAAAGTTTCTGGTCTGCTTGTTGAGGACAAGGTTGTCCTCATAGTGACCTATGATCCAGTGGCAAGACAATTTTAAATTTCTCATCATATGTCTCTGTGAATCCTCAATTTATCAGCCATCAGTGTTTGTAAGGGAATTATTAGAGAGAGAATTTAAAGCTCTTTTGAAGACTTCCTCATGAAGTCTCTCAAGCTGCTCTTTAAAAATAAGTTCTACCTTGGTTGTTATTCAGAAAAACAGGTCCTGAATGGCAAAAAAAGTTATTTAAGGAATTCTTATGGGTTTAATGCAGCTTAGGAGGATTGGGAACTAATCCTTTTTTTATTTTTTTTTTTTCTGTAAATTATGCATGATAGCACCAAGTCAGAAACGTACTAATTCCAAATCACTGCTAAAGATGCTCGGGTGCTTGACTGGCAGCTAGAATAGTTGTTAAAATACTAATGTCTTGGCAAACACTGTTGGATCTGCTTTACATATTCACATCCTACTTCTTCTGTGAGCCAGAGTGGAACTCTGGTTCCTTTGTGATGAACAAGCTGAAGACAGATTTCTTCTTCCTGCCTGCAGGGAAGCACTTGGTACCTCTCCCTGTCCCACCAGCTGCATTCACTTGGGACAGTTTAATCATGCAAGAGGCATGATCCACCAGAGCTTTAGGCAGGGGACTGGCTTTCTTCCATACACCCCCCTCTGTGTCATATAGGAAAACACTGTCTTCTTTCTGCATGCGCTGCAGGGCCCCACCTCCTGCAAGGTAGAGTGTAGTGTCATGGGCTGCAATGCTGAACTGGCAGCAGTTGAATGGGGGCAGCTTTAGCGTTGTCCACTGGTTGCTTCCAGGACAATAATATTCCATCTCGTTCACATGAATCCATTCTTCCACCTGCAAAGAACCATACCAACGCTCACACATTGTGTCATGCCTGTCACATCAGGCTCGCCTGGTTCATGACAAAGGAAATCAGTGTCTCAACATTGATTTAACTACCTTAGGGCTTAAGAGGGTAAATGTTTTATCCACATTTAGCAATCAGAGCCTCAAAAGAAGCTGAACAAAGTTCTGGGATGGCACGGCTTTGAAGGAGCTTTCTGCTTGGAAAATCAGAAGAGTGAGCTGAACAGGGAGCCACAGGGACCTGCTGGAACTGACATAGCCCAAGTCGTACCTGCTCTCCAGACTTTTAACACATGACAAAGGAAATCATCTGAAGTGGCTATATTGCATTGAATTGTGGACGATAACTGAGTTTGTGTCATCCAGAGGAATTTGATGTCAGCCTTGATGTACAGTTTCTCTTTTCTATCCCTTCCTCAGTGAGTAACTACGTGCTCTAAGACACCCTCATTCCTTCAGAAGAAACCATAGCCCTCAGGTTATAGTGGGGCCAGGCCCTGAGTCTTTACACTTTCAAATGGGAATTGCTGAATGATCTTTGAAAACTCAGTTGTCTTGGCTTCAGGGAAGAGGATTCTCCTAGAGTGAGCCCCTCAGTCACAATGGGCAGCGCTTTCCCTCCTCTTTAAGAGGTGGGAAATCCAGGTTTTCAGGACTTGACCCCATCTTTCCTAAAATCCAGATTAGTGTCCTCACTGCAGCCCATTCCTCTTCCAGTCTGCCAGTGTTTCACTCCCTCCAAGTTCCAACAAGGCAAATCTGGTGGTCAGTGTGTTTGGGGCAGGGTACGTGACACGTTTTCCTGCATTAGCAGCCTGCACTTCCACCTGTGTTTCCTCTATTTAAAGAAAATGCTTTTAGCAGCCTCCTTTGTGCTCCAGCAAATAGAGTGTAACAAGAGGGGTGCTTCTTATGTGCATGACTATAATGGCAGGCATATTTTCTTAAGCTTATTGGCCTGACTTGCAACTGCACCAGTCCATTAAGAGGCTGGTACCTGATGGAATAGATACATCAAGGCCTGTCAAAGAGGGAGACCCCATTTTGGATCAGATATGAGACTATAAGAGCAAATAAACTTACTCCTTTCAGTGTCCTTCCTCCAATGCAAAAGATCTTGTCTCTGACTGTAGCCATCCCATGATCACAGCGGGTAAAAGCCATGGCACTATTGCATATCCAGCGTCGGAGGTGAGGGAGGTAGCTGTAAGTGTCTCCTAAGGTTTTACCCCCAGAGAAGCCCCCTAGAAGGAGAGCAGAAGTCTTGAAAATCTGTCCATCGTCCTGGCTGACATCCAGCAAACCTTCTGCAAGCATTAGGAGAGCTGATTTTTTTTTTCCTTACAATACCTAGGAAGATCAGGTTTAAAATTTCACACATCCTGCACAGCTGATGTGGTGCGGAATTCAAAACCTGAGCTGCTCCCCTTTTTTAAAGAGGAAAACAAAAACAGAACAAAAATCCAACCAAAACAGTTCCAGCTCTTTCTGTAAACTGGGGGATTTCCAGCTCTTGGGGTATTTCAAGTGTAACCAGGAGCAGCTTTCATTAGGGAATCTGCTTCCAGCAATCACAAAATGGGGATTTGAAGGAAAAGCATTAAAAGCTCTCTGAACGCTGGGTCTTCGGCAGAAGGTCATTGCCAATCTGCCAGTGCCATGGTCAACTTTCTCTCTTAGGCACTCACTTGTGTATTTCAGTGTGCATTATAAAAACCTCCTTGCAGAAGGAAAGTGCTGCTATGGGGAGGGGAAATGTTTCCAGTTGCGTGTTTGTCCAATTCCAGCCTGCAGAGCCTTTGCAAACAAGGATGATAGTATTTCAGGTTGGCTGTAGACCCCAGCTCACCTGGACAGACACTTTGTCTGCTTGGACCTTGGGTTTAAATCCTGTATTAAAGTAATGCTCTTCATTTTTCTGTTTGCTTGGGCAGGGCTATAGGCTGGCCAGATCAAAGTTGCAGTTAACTGCACTAGTTTAGAAGGAAATGAATCCTATAGGGAAGATCTTGCACCAGAGGGGTATAGTGTTACCCAGGCTAGATTGCTATGGTGTGTTTGAAGCTCTGTGAAGCAATTTTGTCCTTGCTTTCTGATAGGAATTGAGACCAAGAGAGGTTAAATGAGCTGCCTGCGGCATTATAGGCTGAGTCAAAGCAGGGGCTTAAATAACTTGAATCTCAGCCATTCCCCATCTGAACCTTTATCAGGAGCCCTGCTGTCACTGGGGTATGTGTCCCGGGGCAGGACAGCCTGTGTGCTACCTTCCCTGCTCTTGGGGCCTCAGGTGTACAGTCCAGCACAGAGAAGTGTCCTTCATTGCAACTGTGCAACTGAAGTTAATCTGGACTGGATCAGTGCAGTGATCCCAGCTGGCTGTAACTGGTTTATGGAGCAGGGAGCCTGCAGCAATGGCAGACTGGCCCAGGAATTCTAACTCAGAGGTAGTAACACAAACAACAGTACTTTTCCTAGGACAAACTAAAGATTATCTTTTAAGTCCAATCTAGTAGCTGCAAAAGCTAAGTATCCTACAATACTTTCCTGAAGTGTTTAAACCCATGCTGCTTTACTGTCAAACACCCTGCACCATCTACCAAAAATCCCTGTAAAGACTGAGGATCCCTTGTACAGTAAGAGCCCGCATTATGCTTCTTTTTGTACAGGTTAACAAAGCAGCACAGGAGCGTTAGTCCCACATCTTCCACTGAGATTAATATCAGGGTTTAATCCCCTCCATAGCACTATGGCAGCCTGCTCCTGGTTTACCTTTCAGACAGCAAAGCTTTGGGATTCAGCCAGGATTGCAGGGTCAAAGGTGAGCAGGGATGTGAATTACAAGTAGATGGTATCCCCTTTAATGTCTTGAACTAAGTAAGACATTAAAGGTGACACTGGAAGAACATAGGAGGGCAGTGAAGCTGTGGTAAAACAGCAGGAAACTGACCCTGGAGCATTCGGTGTTCCTAGTCTGGGTGCAGGTTTAGACTGTGATGTTAAGATGCTAGCAAAAATCAATGAAACTATATGAAAATATGCTGCTTTCTGCCAGCTTGATCACCTGAAATATAGAGGATTCCCTTGTGGGTCGTGCCTGCATGATCAGCAATAGGCATGGGGAAGGGAGCTGTGAACTCCCACTTGTTGTCAGCAGGCTGGTACAGTTCCACCGTGCATGTAAGGGTCCCCAGCAGTGTCCCACCACCCACGGCGATGATGCGGTCGGACAGCACATCTGCGTGGAAGCGCGTCCGCCTCTGCATCATGCTGGCGACCTGGAGCCAGGAGGTGTTGCGGGGATCGAATCGAAAAACCTAGGATCACAGCAGAGGGCTGAGAGTTAGAAGGTGGCACGTGACTGGCTTGTGTCTTGTGTGGCTTCAAGAACTGAGAAGCAGTTCCCTAGACTAAGGAAGGTTTTATATTCAGACCTGAACGGGCTCAACTTCTACTGCCAGCCAGTTGCTACAGCAGCACCTCCCAGCAGAGCTGGAGGCTCAGATAAGGCCTTTCTGGAGGTCTAGGAGGGTCTGGGAATACGTTGTTCTCCCAGCTTTGCCTGCTGCTCTTGTCCAGGAGGAGGCAGGAGTGGCTTCCCCTCCCCTTATCCCTGGTGACAAGACAAGAGGGGCACAGCACCTCTGCTAAGGCTGGGCTTCCACTCACATCTTGTTCAGCAGTTTTTCAGAAGCTTGTTTTGCCACTCCTGTTAGAAAGCTCAGGTCACTGAGCAAGGGCAGAACCACATGGGGCGGATGCTGAGCTTAGGCTGTTAGCCCTGCTGCTGCAGCATTCTCTGCTCTGCTGCTGCTGAGCTGCCTCCTGCCTTCGAGGCAGTGGAAGGGAGTTGCTGTTTGCAGTGGCACTGTTGAGCTGTGCTGAAATAAGCCCCCTTGGGAGCTTGGGAAAGGAAAACATGCTGGTTTTGCTAGCAAGCTCACTGGAGCCATCTAGGAAAATATAAAATCCTGCACGAGTCTTTTTACTCCCCAGGCAGAAAGGGAAGGTCTGGGGACCTAAGCAGATTTGCATTTCCAGGGCAAAGCCGAAGAGCAAGCAGTTCTCAAGTGAATTGGTGAACTTCAGCTATGCCTCCCAAGGATGAGTCCCATGGCAGCAACAGTGGGGATGGGGATAGCATTCATGGGGTTGCTTTCTCAACTGATGTGGACCTGGCTGAACCTGCACCATGGAAGTTGTGTACAGATTAGGGTAATGATTTACAGTAGAAGCAAGGTGAGATCAGGGCAGGAGCTGATTCCTTCCCAGGCAGTTTGGAAGCTGTATTCGCAAGGGCTTTCAGTAACTGCCCAGAGTGCTAAGAAATGTGTACAGTTGGGAAAGCTGTGGTGTGCAAGAGGAATGACTCCCTCCCTTCCTCACCCAGCCACTTTTCCAAGGCTAAACGTTTCTTATGCCTTACCTCATTTGACGGTTGCTTTCCAGTGGGATCAAATTTGCTCTGTCCCCCGATGACAAAGAGAAAGTCATTGATGATGGTGACACAGTGGTTGTACACTGGCATGCAGAGGTCCCCGACCTTGTGCCAGGAGCTGCAGCTCTGGTCCGCAGCCCATATCTCTCTGCACACGTGGTTGGTGGTAGTTCTGCCACCAGCTACAAGCAGCACTGTGGAAGCAGCGCGGAGGCTTGTGCTCTGGGTCTGCAGGACTGGCTGAGCATACAGCTGGGAGTGGTAGCTCAGAGCCTCCTGCACGTACCTGTGGCAGCCTGAATCCAGCCTCGTAAGAGGCATTTCCTGGATACATCGCTGCAGATCACATAGAGGAATGAGAGGGAATCTTATGTGCCTTAAAATCTCTGCTGCATCTTTCAGCCGTGTGCGGTCGTGCTGCAGCCAGCTCATGGCAGCTCTGAACAGCTCCAGCTCGCTGCATCCCTCTGTGTCGATCTTGGCCAAAATTTCACAAAGGGTTCCTCGGTCTAGGTCTTTCAAGCACTGCGGATCAGCCAGGATCTGTTTGCAGTGCTGCCCTACGTAGCACATGGCTTTCTGTCTCAGGTCTGCTGGGCCGAGTTTGTTAACAATGGTAAGAACATCCGTGCAGTTCTCACAGTTCAAGCAACCCTCCAGGAAGTGGAAGCACAGCTTGATCACCTCCCGAACCAGGAGCGTTTCTGCAGCTTTGAAGGTCTCCTCAATATTCTGCAATGAGAGGTCTAGTTTGTTGGAGTAAATGAAGTTGAGAACATTCCTCAGCCCAGCAGCACTGACAGTTTTCAGCCGAATGTTACTGTCTGGGCTCCCTGCGCCAGTCAGGTTTCCAACAAACAGGATCTTGCAGTAATTACTTGCTGAAGCTAAAATGATCTTGTGGGCTGGAAAGCAAACCCCTTCTGCCTCCAGCGTCACATCACACAGCGCGCTTTGCATGCGGAGGCTGCTGAGCCCATCCAGGAGTTTAGCCAGGTAGGTGTCTGACACCAGGCTCGCTGTGCCGGCCTGCGAGCGCAGCAGCATGGCTCTGGAAGCAGCCCTGGGACTCAGCTGCATGCAGTCAGTGCATCCCCTGGGTACTCTTCTGCAGTCGGGACAGGCGTTTCCTGCTTCAGGAGAGCTGAGGCTGTGCTGCCCAAGCACACAGAGCCATCCAAACAGCAGCAGCTGCAGCAGTCCCTTCCTCAGCAGCCTCTGCCCAGCGCTTTGCAGGCACAGTGTGCCTTGTGCCTTGCAGAGCTGCTTGGGGCTGTTTGCAAGTGGAGCTCTTGGTGCTGATTATCACACAAACCCCACAGTGTTTGTGGGTTTTGCCTGTTGGCTGTGACACTGGCAGCAGTGGACAGCTACCGGCATAGCCACATTCTTCCTCCCTGCTATCTGGTAACTACCCATCTGCACAAAGACCAGCTCATTCTTCATCAGCTCCCCAGCAGTGCTTTGTTGGGTGCCTGTTTAGGTACTCTTTCATCTGGGCAAGTCTGCACATGCCGTCTTTCCTCCTTGAACAACAAACAAAATCCTGTCTGTGACAGGCCACCCTTGGCCCCCTGGCTAGATTTTATCGCTTCAGACAACAGCTACTTTCAAGGAGGGGGTGGGAATGTCTCAGCACTTGTGTCCTGTTCAGCTTGAAGCAGTCAGATAACATCCTGTGTGCAGCCTGCTCTTGCTGGTGTTGGGGATTGAAGCCTAGGGTTTTCCCAATACCTAGTGAACCAGTTTTTTGGCACAAGCAGAGAGCACCTGTAGTCTCTTTTCTCCCTGTGGATACAGCAGAAGCAAAGGGTATCCACAGCCAGGCTTGAGACCATGTGAAAGCTTTGGCATTAAGTTGAGGTTGTAGCCTAATGTTGGTCAGCCCCTGCTCCAGGCTGACACCCCTGTCCAGCTGGGACAGCCCCCCTTGGCTGTGTGGTTTGGGGGGAAGGTGGTGGGTGAGGCAACAGAGAGGTGCTCACAGGTTGGCACTGTGTTCTGTTCCCCTGGCAGGGGTGTTCTACAACTCCTCCGGCTTGGCGCAGTGCTATGACATATACCAGCTATACCAGTCTTGCGCTGACCCCACGGGCTGTGGCATCGGCCCGGACGCTGAGGCCTGGGACTACCAGGTAAAGTTTTGGAGACACCAGCAGGTTCCTGGTTATCCTGGTTCCCCCCCCCCAACAGCTCTTCTACCTCTCCTAGGTTTGCACGGAGATCAACTTAACTTTCAACAGCAACAACGTGACTGATATGTTCCCCGAGATGCCCTTCACAGAGGCCATGCGGGAGCAGTACTGCTGGAGGAAATGGCACGTGAGGCCACGAGCACACTGGCTGCAGATAAACTTCTGGGGAGGAGGTGAGTTTGTGGTGGCTGCTCGTCCCTTGGCACTACCCTTCAGTTGTCTGCCTGTCCCACCTGCCTGTGCCTGTGGGGACAGGCACAATGCACTAACAGGTCCTGGCAGACAGTCACAGCCTTGATACAGGTTTCTGTATCTCCTCAAGACAAAAATGGAATACTTAAAAACTGCCAAGAATTTGGTTTATTCTCCTGTGTTTTCTGTTCTTGGCCATGTTTGCTGCAGTAGCCAAATGCGTTTGGGTAAATGGGCAGGAAGACCTCTCACATGTCACCTCTCTGAATTTCAGACCTGAAAAGCGCAAGCAACATCATTTTTTCAAATGGAGACTTGGATCCTTGGGCTGGAGGAGGGGTAAGCATGTGGAGTGCTGCACCCCCCAGCACAGAGAGCAGCCTTTCCAGGTGATGCACGCACACACATGCACACGCACGCACACCCCTCCCTTTCAGAGCAGTAGTGGCTACATGTGAGTTTCTGCTGGCAGCTATTTTACACTGAACCACTGAGTTGCCCCAGGACATTAATGATCATAGGCTCACTTCATTTGAGATGGAGCATTGGGCTTACTGGGACTGTCAGCTCTGCACACAATGTCAGGCATACAGGGGGGCTCTTCCATGCCTGTCCTCAGTCCTGAGCAGCTCACTTTGCAGTTTTCAGAAGATGCCCAGTTCCACCTGGTCACTTGGTGAGACTTTCTCTCTGCTCCTTCTTCTTCCAGATAAATAGCAGCCTCAGCCCTTCACTAATTGCACTGACTGTTAGAGGAGGCGCTCATCACCTAGACCTGCGGTAAGTAGCGAGTTCTCCTTTGGCTGGCAAAATCCTCCTGCCTGAGGGTTAGATCTTAGCCACAGTCCAAAGATCCAGGAGATCCTTTAGAAGGGGTTGGACACAGACTGTCACAGCCTAACTGTAGAAGAGCAGTCTTCTTCCCCAGCACAGGGCTCTTCCGGCCTCCAGGGAAGCAAGGCAGTGCAGAACTCAGCACTAAACTCACATACTCTCATTGGAACACGTTCTTGTACAGGGATTGGCACAAGTGTGCGATAGCCTGTAGCTGTCAGTCACGTGAAATAGTCCAGTGTCTCTTGGCATTAGCCATCAGCCTTCAGCCCCGGAGCACAGGACACCAGCCACCAATGCAAGGGAGAGCCTGGGGCTCTCCAGCCTGCCTCCCAAACTCTTTGTGGACACCACGCTGTAAGTTTTTTCCAGGGCATAAATATCAAGTACAAAACAGATAATCTGTCCATCAGTTCCCTGGCTTGGCTTTCCCTGTGCGAGAGGCAAAGAGCTGCCCCTGCTGACCAGCTCACCCTGCTCTGCTTTCTCTAGAGGACACAATCCAGCTGACCCCCCATCGGTCACACAAGTGCGCAAGCTTGAAGCGAGCATCATCAACAGCTGGGTGAAAGCTGCAGGGATGGAAAGGGCACAGAAGCGCCCAGGGGCTTCAGCTGTGAGTATGTCCAGACCCACAGCCTCAGGCCTGGGAGTGAGGCTGCCACTACAATAGAAGACAAAAGCCTGCTGAGCTATGCCTGTGCCATTTGAGGAAGTGTTATCCAAGCTGGTGGAAATTCACCCTTCTGAAGTGTCTTAGCTGCCCCTCATCAAGCATCAAAACAAAAGCAAAATGCCAAATCTATGACAGAAGCCAAAAGCATGTTGTGCAGCTCTTGTGCCAACCTGCTTGCAGTGAGAGGGCCCTGGAAGGCCCAAGAACCGCCACTAGCATAAAAAGTGTGGTTGCATGAGGCACCTTAAGGTTGAAGCTGAATGATTTTAGGCAAAAGGTGAAGATTAGATGACTAGAGTTGAAGAAGGGGTGGGGTCATTACTTACACAGGTTCAGAGGACTCCACCAGAAACCAGTTACATAAAAAAGACTCCGTTAGCCTCATCCAGTGCTGGGGGTTTGGGTGGGTTTTTGGTTTGTTTTTAACTTGCTCAAGAGATCTTTAGTCCTTGAGCTGGAGGTTTACACCTAGCAGTCATCCTGCTGTACTGCTGTCACTCGAGAGCTGCGCATTAGTGACCAGTAGAGCAGCTTGCTCCAGATTATCTTCAATCTTTTTAAAATAAATTACAAGTCTGTTAAAATGTGCGATGCGATTTCATGGCTTGGTAGTATGCCAGAGAAGATAAAACTGTTCAGGTGGAACAAACTCATCTTTGCACATCAGCAGGTGGGTTCTTACCTAATGGAATTACTATGCACCAATAAATACTAGCTTAAGTGTAGAAGTATTAAATCCTGTAATCAATTGGCTGCCTCAGTTGATCCATTTGCAATGATTTTATGACTTAGGGGAGGAGCCTCCCAGATCCCCAAAGGTTTACATTACTTACACTGGCACTCACAGCATTGCCTCAGCTTCTGTTCCACTGCTCAAACACAAGCCTTGTGTGCAGTATTTGCACTGCTGGGTCCTCTCAGCCATCACAGTGTGACTGTTCTGAGCTACAGTGACAGTCACTGGTGTTTCACAATGTTTGGGTGCTGACAAAAAGCCTTTTTGCATACAACCTGTTTATCTCTTCCCTCTTCTTACAAAAGACCAAAGGTTCTGCTCCCATCAGCACTGCGGAGTGCAGGGGTAGGGAAGAGCAGGAACAGATGAAGTCCATTTATCAGATCTTTCAGACATGTACAAATGAAAGACAGTGTAGGGAAGACCTAGTTAGTCAAACTCTGGTCCCCACGGAAAAAACACTTTGTTAGTGGAACTGCATCCTCACTAATCAGAATCCCAGACTGGTTTGTGTTGAAGACACCTTAAAGCTCACCCAGCTCCAACCCCCTGCCATGGGCAGGGACACCTTCCACTAGAGCAGCTTGCTCCAAGCCCATCCAACCTGGCCTTGGCTCTGCCAGGTTAACATAAAGCCACACGTAACACAGAAGGGTTCACATCAGCCAGTGCCATGGACCTTGCAAAACTGCCAGTTTCTAAAACCTGCAGTAGGACTTCAGTCCTCAGAAAGTGCAGAGACCAGATGCTGTGGCCCCATCCATCTACTGGATTTTCTTTGAGCAAGGTCTGTATTGTTTCCCGAGCTGTGGCTTAAAGCCCCAAATGTGAGTTCTCAGAGTCCCACAGCTGTGCAGCACAACATGGCTGTGCTCATACCCATTTCTGTTTCTCAGTGAAAGCATAAGTGAACAGCATAGCTGGGTGGAGCAGGGTTATTGTGTATTGGTTTATTTTAATTAGGAAAGGCACTCAAGCTCTTGGAGAGAAACCACAGCAGGTCTTTGTGCAAAAGAACAGAATGACTAGCTGAAGTGACTTCTGCAACATTCACCTTAAGCACCAGAAGCATACGAGCACACTGAAACACCAACAGGGATTCCTGAGCCAAAGCCTGAATTGCAGGGGCTGAGAACCAGAGAGTCCTCAAAAGAAAATCTTTCAAAGATGTGCAAAGCTTCTGTAGTGTTGGGGGAGCAGAAAGTGGAATTGAGATGGGCTGTGAAGCTCAGCAACTAATCTGACACAGCATATTGTTAAGCAAGTAGAAGCAGATCAGCAATTAAAATGACCTTTGCAAAGAACAGGAAGAAGCACATGGACTTTTATCAGATCATTTAGGTTTCTGCCATTTCACATGTGATACAGGAGCCCTGAACAATCTTAACTTCAGATCTAAAGGATATAAAGGACAAGGACAGTAAAGCCACTTTGCAAAGAGGTTCAGTATCCCATGAAGAATAAGGTAGAAAGACAGTAGTTGAACAGGCTCAGCTAAAAGACAAGAAGTGTGTTTGGGGAAGTGATGATTTATTCTTCTTCAATTCATTCAGAAATGGATCATTACTTTCAAACCAATTAGAAGGAAAAAAAAATATATATAACACAAACTCACACAGTCCCATTTGCAGAGTTGATTCCATTAAGACTAGTATAAGACTTCAACAACTGAAGGGTTTTGGTGAGATTTGGACGTACTCCACTTTCTAAGACATCTGTTTCCTCAGTAGCGCTGCCCTAAAGGTGAAACACCAAACTCTGCAAGTTTTACAATCCACAGCAGAGTCATTGAGTCTGAGTTCAGTACTAGCTCCAACGGAAGGCACAGGCCAAGCAGCACCAGTCAGCAGGGCCCGGACAGTCTCACTGAGCGGGGGGGGTTAACTTTCTTTTTCTTTTTTTTTTTTTTTTTTAAAAAATCTTCAGTTTTGAGCCTCCAGCTTTTAGCCAAAGCTCAGCTCCTCAGAACCACAAACCTGCCCCACAAACAGAAACACTGAAGGTGTTCCTCCCATTTTTAAACAGCATTTTCCTTCTTCGCTATTCATCAAAGGAAAACAAAAGTTTTCGGAGCAAATCAGTTATGCAAACAGCGGCTACAGCTACTGGATTCCAGTGCACATGTGAGAAATTGATTTCCAGGGTTACTGGTGGCGTGTGAACTGGAGCAACATTAACATTCTGCGCACACTTGTCATGTCTTGCAAATTCCAAGGTCCCTTTGACAACAGAAAAAGGTGCATTTAAATAATCTGTAGCATTTCTCCATTTCCATAAGCCATCATTAGTACATGGAATGATAAATATTCTTTAAAAGATTTAAACAGTGGTCCCAAGGGTAACTTCTGACCCCAGCAAACAGAACTGATACGCATAAAACAAATAAAAATGCGTCTTACTTTACAAATCAAAGGTTACAAATACTACCAAATACACAAAAAAAACAACTGTTACAGTCAGATTTCATTAGCTCCTGTAGCAGCCCTAGATTTAGAGGGAACGTACCTCACCACCACAACCTGCATTCTTTACGCTTCTCCCATTAAAGTGAGCAGAAAGGACATTTTGATGACAGCAGCCTCAAAAAGAAATAAGCATGTATCTGAGACCTTATCTGTGAATGCAGGACTGTCCAAGTAGCTACAAAACCTACATGAAAAGCAATACAGAAAGCTGATTTCCAAATTCATAGTGTAAAATCTATTTGCACATACAAAAATGAAAGATCCCAGGGCTCCCATAAGATTCTTAAGAAAAAAAGGATCTGCTTTGTCTTCAAGCAACTGAACAGATTTCACGGATTCTATTGGGACCAGGAATTGCTGTAATATACTTGGACTGTCTGCTTTGAATATTATTTATGAAAAAAACTTCTATCCAAGTATTCCCAAGGAAAAAAAAAAAAAAAACAACCAAAAAACCTTGAGAATTTCTCCACAGTCCAAAAACGATTAATAACATGAACTCTGCTGTACACTTGTAAGCTTGTTTTTTGTCAAACACCTTACAATGCAATATCTGAACAGGAAGGGACAGAAGAAAGCTGACTTAGAATTATACCTAATGTGCTCAACAAGCTTTCCCAGTGCCCAACCTCAGAAAGCAGCTTTCAGTCAGAATACCTGAGTCTAACTGATGCAAATAATATATAAAACGCACGTGTAGTTTCACTTGTGTTTCACATTATCTCCTGCATTCCTGCAGATAAGTTAAAAAGCTGCAATAGCTCTACAAAATTATATACCACTTTGAACCAAAGCAGCAGCAAATTCTCTTCCATCATTCATTTCAACCAAAGTGCTCTATAAAACTAAGATGCTGTCCAACAGACGCTTTGCTGCTGCTTCCTCCAACGTGACGCAGCATAGCCGGGGAGGTTGGAATGAGATCAGAGTATCAGTAGCAATACTGACAGCTTTGCTTCTACCTGGGACAATGTCACAGTTCTTGGTTTATCCCACTTAGCACCTTAAACACTGTATGTTCTTATGAAGAAACAGCGCTGTAACCGAGTATTTCAGTGAATCCAGAACAAACCAGACACCTGTAGGCTTATTCCTTCTCTTCAGGAACAAGCCTGTGCTGTCAGACAACTCTCTGCATTCCCACTATTTAATGAGCATTTAGTAAGACTGACGTAAGTTGAGTTCTGGTTCACCAGAACCCCATGATTTCATGGTCCATTATTCTGTGAACCACATCATTAATACCAGGAAAACCAGCTTAGTATGGCACAGCTTGTCGATCCGAGAACCAGAGATTACATTTAAGACTGACATGACTTCTTCAAACCAGAGATGCTTTCCTAAAGGTTTTGTTTGTTTGATTTAAGCCAAAAAAGGTGCAATATAGCATCTCTCCTCAAACCCTGAATAGTAAAGTGACTTGAAGATAAAAATGCCACCACTGGAAGGTCTACTAACACCCAGTCTATGCTGGCACCCAGATAGGGAGTGGATGAGCTTCTGTGTTAAATACATATTTGTCAAGGTTGATTAAGTCTATGTCATCTGAAAACAGCAGAAACATGTATTTGAGCGTTTCCCCTAGGAAGAAGCTCTCCATCTTATCTCGTGGCTCTGGATTACTGGGATTCTGGACGTTATTAATGGAAGTATAACCACCTGTAGGAACCTGTGCACACAAAAAAAAATAATATCAGAAATGTATATTTTGACAATCTAAATTATTTTCATTTCTTAATATCCAGATGCACTTGGAGAAGATAAGCGCTAAGAAACAGATCAGCATGTTTTTCATTCAATGTTTGTTTTTCATTTGCATGTAAAACTTCAGTTATGGAAAAAAATCTCTACATTTTAAAAGAAACCAGAGGTTAAAATGAAATAAAATGTCTATTTATGCTTCATTTAAAGAGGTATCAAAAAGAACACGCCCTTGAAGCTTCTGGACAAATGTACAGGAAGTAACTAGAGAATTTCTCCATCAGAATTGGCCAAAGTACCATGCCTATTTCTTTTAAGTACAGACCACGGATATCACTGGCATCTAGGCCACACTTTTACAGCATGTAAGAGTGCTTGTATCTCCACAAGACTGTAGTCAGAATGAATACAAAAGCCTCTCTATTAAGGAATTAACACCACTTTGTGGCAAGCTTTTTTTTTGCGGGGGGGGGAGAGGGGCACGGTGGCAGCAATTTCAACCAAATGATTTTTCAATCCAGCCAGGTTCTCCCCAGCTTCTTAATTCTAAAAAAGATCACAGCAGAGGTTCTAACAGCTTCCAAGAGGACACAGAGACACTTTGGTAGTCTGCATGCAGCCTCTGCATTTTGCTTTTTAATCGATGTAATGCAAGTTCTACCCCTGAATGCACTAAGCAGTG